CTTTGCAAATGTGAACTAAGAGGAATAGAGGGTTTATGCCTACCTGATTGAAACTGCAGGGGATAGTTCGTCAAATTTCACTCAAACAAGAAGCAACTACTGGGTTGGAAAACAGATACAGTCAGGAAGGCTGCATCTTAAACTGATAACAGCAGTTATGTCTGGGGAACAAATCTGAGAGGAGGGAGTGGTAAGGAGGGAGAGTTTCACATGGGATTTTTCTTCTGTACTGTATAAATATGTTCCAAGACAGTATTTTCTATAATTCAAGACACTATTAAAATGGGTTGTGAAGAGACAGAAAATTACTTTATGTGTGACACTGAATACAACAAAGTGCTACTTCTAGGAGGATTCGTAGACCCTGCAGGGAAATGAGTTCCCTAGCACGATGAACAGATTGTTATGGAACCTGGGAACCAAGTCCCGTTTCCCCATAGAACAAGGGAACAAGGATGTGGCCGTGAAGATACCCAGCTTTTTTTTTTTTAAGATAGATACCTAGTTTGATTCAAAGGAGCTCTGGTAGCGTAGTGCCTAAGGCACCTGACTGCTAACCAGAAGGCTGGCAGTTCAAACCCACCAGCCACTCCTCGGAAGGACATTTGGGCAATCTACTTCTGTACTGATACCACCTCGGAAACCCAAGGAGGGGTCGCTATGAGTCGGGTCTGACTTGATGACAAACAACAACAACAACAAAAGTTTGATTCAAAACAAAAACAATACCCACTGATACCAAGTCAATTCCAACTCATAGTGTGGCCTATTGGACAGAACAGAGCAGCTCCGTCAGGTTTTCAAGGCTATAAATCTTTAAGGAAGCAGACTGCCACATCTTTCTCCCACAGAGCAGCTGGTGAGTTCAAATCCCCAACCTTGTGGTTAGCAGTCAAATGCCTTAACAACTACTAGAGCTCCTTTTAAAAACAAAAGGACACGTATATGCATCAACAGTCCCTGAAATTGTTTAAGTCACACTACTGGTGACATAAGTATATAATGGCCCATGTATGAATGAACTACAGTATTATAAGAATTCTTAAACATGGCCGGTCCTTGTCTTACATGGTCAGTATCTCTGGCTATGGATCCAAGAGATGCTGCATCTGTGTCTGTCTCTGGCAGCCACCACAATGGTAACAAGATTGTTGTGCTGTTGGGTGCTGTCGAGTTGATTCTGACTCACAATGACCCCATGTGACAGAGCAGAATTGACCCATGGGTTTTCTAGGCTGTCATCTTTACAGGAGCAGATCACCAGGTCTTTCTCCCTTGGAGCCACTTGGGTGCATGTGAACTGCCAAATTTTTGGTTAGCAGTCAAGCACTTAACCATTGTACCACCAAGGTATCCCTGGCTAAATAAATCAGGAACAAATTCTAGATGAATAGGGATTTCAGAGCAGTCCCTTCTGCCTCCACGCCCACTTGTAACTCAACACATCTTTTTCTAATGTTTCTATATTTTAACTAAAAATAATTCACATCTTGAATTCAACCCCAGGTAGCTTTCATAAATTACAGAGAAAGGCCAGTAATTCAGCATCTGCCCTTTCTTTCACTTGTGAAATATCATGGAATCTTGGGAGTAAAACAGGGTTTCAAGGAAGCAGGATGTCTGTCCAACTCACTAGGATCTCTGTTCTAATGAGATGCAATATTAATGAGACAGCCACCAAATGAAAGCCAACGGTAAATTTGGTTTACAGTGTAGAGGGCCCTGACAAAACGTATTTCTGTATTTGATGAACATCAAACATCATTTCTAAATGCAGAGCAATTTGGATTATCTGAGGTGTTCCAGGGGAAAAAAAAAAAATAAAATAAATTCCTTCAAACTAGTTAAAATAAAAAATCCTAAAGCAACCACAAAAAATTTTCTTTTAAATTCATACAACCTTTCACCAAAGTAGAACAGAATAATTCCATGTATTATCTGTTCAGAGAGAACACCGTGCTTTTAAATTTTTAATTCCTAAGATGTAAAGAAGGAAGGAAAGGAGAGGAGGAGGGAGGGAAGAAGGAAGAGAGAAGGGGAGGCGTGAAGGAAATATGGAAACATGGATAGATGGACAGACAGAAGGACAGATGTAAAAAAGGGTGGGAGGGAGGGGAGAGAGAAATCCTTCACAATGTCCCAAAAATTTCTGAACAAAGAAATATTTTCAAACTCTACACTAAAGTTTTCAAGCTATAAATTGCCAGGTCCAAGTTGGAGGTGGGATGAGGAGAGAAAAATCCTAGTGAACTTGTTTGTCCAAATTCAGAATAACTGGGCACCTTTATAATCAAACTTAGAGAAAGGAGAGAGTGAAGAGAGATGCTTAAGGAGTGTTCTTAAGACAATGTGGTGGTGCCACAAGCTTCTTTAGCTATGAGACCTGACATGCGCCCTTAAGGTCTGTCCCTAGTTACTCTGCTTTTTTGTGAAATAAGATAAACCAAATTTCAAACCTCAGGTTCTATGCCTCATGTGCCAATGAAACACACTTGTGGAAGAAATCTCTTCCATTAATGGTTCTTAATGATTTTTTAAAAATTTATAATTTGAAACACAAGGTGTGTTCATTACTACCAAAAAAAAAAAAAGGATTATACATTCCAAATGTTGGTGCATTTATGGGAAAGAAGCATCCTTAAATGCTAATATCCAATAGGATATTGGTGTTCTTAAGAAACCTAAGGAGTATCTCTGATCTGTAAATATATACCAAAAGATAAATCATTCCGTATTGCTCAACAGGAAAATCAATAATAGGAATAAATACATAAATTAATAAAATAAATAACAGAACAGAGAAACATACAGACAAAAATGGGAATTATTCAAACCATTTAACACAGATTTTAATTTTAATCATGTTCAAAGTAACATCTATTTAAATACCAAAAAACATTTAGAAATGGCATGCATTTTTAAGATGATATGGAAATAATGTTGCAACCCATTGAGTATGGGAAGTTTCCCATCAAAGAATGCAATTGCCTCGATAGGAATATTGGTTTTAATTAATATGCTTTAATGTAATATCAAATACTACTTTCTATTTGTACCTAAGGAGCTCTGGTGGCATAGTGCCTAAGGCATGTGACTGCTAACCCACCAGCCACTTCTCGAAAGGAAGGTTTGGCAATCTACTTCCATAGTGATACTGCCTCAGAAACTCAAGGAAGGATCAGTACGAGTCAGAACCTAAACCATTTGTACCTAAGCCACTACTAGAAAAAATTCTTGTCATTTCTTTTAAAATACGACCTTCAAACTAAAAACATAGACCATTATGATGAATAGAACAGACATTTCTCTCAACATCTTATTATTTAATTCACACAACTTTACACAACTTAAGATATACGTAAAACAAATATGATTCCTATGAACACCAGGCAAGTCAAATCAATAGTGATTGTCAATTTTCACCTATGCAGAATGGAAAGAATTAATGTATAATATATTCCAGAGAGAACACCTTGCCTTTATTTAATGCAGGGAGGGAAGGGGAAGAGTAAAACATTCATTAATTGTGGCAATATCCAGAACTTCAGTTATATCACAGGAAAAGTTTATCCTAATTCTTTGGGACTTTTTCTGGCCTAACAGATTTTGCAGCTGGTTTTTCTACCAGAGTTTCAATATTTCATCAGTACATTTTAAAAGTCTTTACAAATTTAAAAGTGACTTCAAATTTGTTTTTAAATAACCTTTTTCCTCCTTCCTGGTATGGCTCATATATTGCTTCCCAATTAGAACACATCAACACCCTCTTTGCTTAAACAGCAAACTTTAAATGGTAGGAGACATTTTTTTCTTGTGCATAGGAATGAATACAAGGGCCAACAATGAATCACCAATGCATTAAGTTCAAATTGTTTAACAAGTGGCACTTGGGACTCTTCAGATCAAATCAGTTAGGCAAATAGTTTTATTTTAAAAATAGAAAAAAAATCACAAAAGGATATTTTAAAAATAGAAAAAAATCACAATCCCTTTCTTTCCGCTAACTTTCCTTGCACCACTCTTACATAAAAGAGTTAGAATGTTTATCTTTAAACAAGGAGTATCTCTCTATGGGATGTTGGAGGGCACATGTGTGAGATGGAATTCTATTCTTAGACTTGTTACAACTTTTCCTGTAATTAGGAAGCTATATGCCCCTGATAGAATGATGCTAACAAGCTCCTGCAGTTTCAACTCTGGCAAGAAATCTAGGAGACAACTCACTTCAGCAAAAGGGTAATAATGCTGGCTGGTTATTAAAGCAGGAACCTCTTCTACAGTTTTATATCTGAAGAAACTTTTCTGAAAGAGTTAGGTTCTATAGCCAAGACTACATACAGTGGGAGGGGGGAGGCCATGGAATATATTCAGAAAGATATATATAACAACAACAAAAAAAAGATATATATACAAGTTCTTGGAAGAGGTCTGTTTCAGGATAACTTTGACATATTGAAACTTTCCCAAAGAAAGATGGAAGGATGTCATTATAGCAAATACCTATTCCAACCTGATATTTCTCATAGAACATTGATACTCTTCTACTATTTGAGGGTTACTATTGAATTTACAGTTAGTTTGCATCCTTCTTATAATAAGTAAATAAATATAACCAAAGCTATGTAGGAACCAATGGGGTTGGGGTTTATAAAATATGATTTAGATGAGTCGATATAAGCAAGTACACATTTAGGAAAAGAAATCCAAAAAACAAATAAAATCCAGTGCTGTCGAGTTGATTCTGACTCATAGCGACCCTGTATGATGGAGCAGAACTGCCCCCATAGGGTTTTCAAGGCCCTAAGTCTTTACGGAAGCAGATTGCCTCAAATTTCTCGCACAAAGTGGTTTTGGGTTCCAACCGCCAACCTCTTGGTTAGTAGCCGAGCACTTCAACTATTGTGCCATCAGGGCTTCTTCAGATAAATAAAACACCTGGAAAATGGAAAATGTTTGGAGAAGGAGGCTTCATTCAACTGACAAGAGCGATACTCACGTACCTTAAGGACTTCCATCGGCACCTGGGTGGGAGAGGGAAGGGTGCTAGGCACACTGACGTTTATGGCTGGTGTCTGACTCACGGGCACTCTCTGTTGCATGAACTGGGCCGCCTGCAGCTTCTGCTGCTGCTCCCTGCGCTCCTGCTCCTGCATCTGCTCACGCATGAGTTGCTGGCGTAGCAAGATGCGTGATGTCATGCTGGAGGAGCTTATTGGAGGCTTGGAGGCCCCAGGATGCTCCGCAGAACTGCTGTAGGAAAACCAAAGGACATACAATGCTTAATTTCCTAACGAGACACTTAAGTTTGCATCCTGGAGTATCCTAAATTGCACCAAACTATGAAATGAGCCTGCGCAAGTATAATCAAGTCACACAAAGGTACTCCACATAATTGAAAATCAAGAAGTTGATAGGATTTAAGTTATTAGTAGTTTAATTATAATAAGTCAGCTTGATTACATTTAGGCATTTTTATCATGCAGCTTAATTTTTTTTTTTTTTATACTGAACACTACTCATCACCACCAAATATAGCACCACCATATGCAGTGCCAAGAAGCAATGTGTCTTAATAGCATCCAAATTTCCACATTTAAAAATAAATTGCTTGATGTTAATGATGGTGGAATGATTGGACAAGGACAGTGAGAAGGCTGCACAATTTGAAGAATGTAATCAGTGTCACTGAATTGCACACGTAGAAATGGTTGAGATGGCCTATGTTTTGTTACGTATATTTCGCCACAAAAAATTTACATAATAAATTGATTTTTTTTCTAAAAATGGAATCTAGCCAAATAACTCCTTCTACAAGTTACCTAAATTCCTTTAAAATGTCTAAGATGTTTATTAACAAGGCTAAGTGAGCTTGGTAAAGGAGAAAATTAAGATAAAGGAAGTAAAAAATTGTTAATGAAAAAAGCGTTTAGACCAGAAATATTAACACTGAACTCAATCTCAGTCTTTGGAAAAAGGGGTAATAGACAAGTTGGCTTGACAACCCAGCGCTACTGTGCCTGGTTTTCTTTGTACCACCTTTTCTTCTGATTCATTAGGCCACTACATACGCTCAGCAAGTTCCATATATACGAGTCCTACTCTGAATGGTACTCTAGATACTTATTCAACCCCCAAATTATATAAAATGCATAATCACTGTTTCTGTTTGATGCCACTGAGTTCATTAAGACTCATGGAGACCCCATGTGTGCAGAGTAGAATTGCTCTATAGTGTTTCCCAGGCTGTGACCCTTTGGAAGCAGATTGCCAGGCCTGCTTCAGAGGCTCCTATGGGTGGATTTGAACTGTGATCTTTTCAGTTGATAGTTGAGTGGTTTACCATTTGCACCACCCAGGACCTCCTACTTAAACACTAGTTCTGAGTTAAGAAGAAACAATAACATTATATTAAAATATAACCTTATAAAAATATAACCTTACATTAAATATGGTTTTTGATGGCTTATCTCACCAGCTCTATGACATTGAGTTATTAAATCTCTCTGTGCTGCAGTTACTATATCCAGAAAAGAGGGATAATAATACTTTGTTTTTTCTTAAGCTTTTTTATTTTGATATAATTGTAGATTTACATGCAATTTTAAGAAATAACACACAAAGATTCCATGTACCCTTCAACCAATTTCCACCAATAGTAACATCTTGCAAAACTACATTGCACTATCACAACCAGGCTATTGACACTGATAAGGTCAAGATACTGAACCGTTATCAATAGTTTTTTACTCACTGACTCATTCAAAAAGTGGGAGATGTTTTTAAATTTTTGTTGCATCATTTATATTGTAAAGCTTTACCTCTTAGGGATTTTGTGAGGATTAAATAAAATAAAGCCGATATGAACACTAGTATAATGAGCTTGCACAGTATTACTTCCACAAATGTTTGCTGTTGCTAATATTGTGTTACCGGGAAAATACAAATGTTTATTTCTAGCAACAACTTTTTAAACAAAAACATTTCTTTTTAGAGACAACAGTATAAGACCGTAACAGCTAGAATGAGGAAAAAAACAAAATATGAGAAATTATTTAGTCTTGAGTAAGCCACCTTTGAAGGAAATTATTTGTATTGCTAGCTTTCTTCCTTGAGCATAAATCCCCAGATGCTGATTTTACCTTCTACCAAAAGGCAAAATAAAACCTTTATATCATTTCACTATTTAAAAGGAACTCTTTAAAGATAAACTCATTGTCATCCAGTCAATTCCAACTCTTACTGACCCTATAAGAGCAGAGTAGAACTGTCCCATTGAGTTTCCAAGGCTGTAAATCCTTTATGAAAGCAGACTGCCTCATCTCTCTCCCTTGGAGTGGGTGTTGGGTTCAAACTACTCACCTTTTGGTTAGCAGCCAAATGTTTAACCACAGCACCACCAGAGCTCCTTAAAGATAGGAACCTTCAAGCTCAGCAAGTAACAGAATGGTGTAGAATGCTAATGGTGTAGAAATATTTGTGTTTTATCCTACAAATAGTTCCAGAAAAACTAAAACTTTTACTACTAGTTCATTTATTTTCAACAAAGGAAAATGGTTCATTAAATTTGATGTGTTCACACGATACCATCCAGCCACTAAAAATGGTATAGAAATTGACACGGATTTAAAAAAAAAAAAAGTTTGAAAAATAGTACTCTAGGTACAGACACAAAATAGTACTCTATGTACAATCGCATTTTAAAAAATGTTCACTATAAAAATAATATGACAATGTTTACAAGTCATTGCTAGTGTATATTGTTGTAATCCTTTGAGAAAATAACTTAGCAATATTATCAAAGAGCTAGAAAATTACACAATTTGATACAGAAATTCCATTAATGGACATTTTTCCTGAAAACTAATTCAAAATGTGGACATATTCACATTGTAGAACATTTACAAACTGTAAAATATTCTAACCAACTTAAATTTGCTCTGTGAGAATGACTAAGTTATGATTCATGAATTTGATCAAATCTTATCTTTTTTTAAGTTTTACAATTACAAGGGAAAATGGGAAGTGCATATAATAAGAGTAAATTAAAAAGTGACATTCAAAAGTGTATTTATACTCTAGTTAAAGTAAGTACACTGTGTGTATGTGTACACACACACAACTCACAGGGTATGTATAAAGATGGTTATGACTGTCAGAGTTGGAGTGGAATTACAGGTTAATTTATTTTTGTTTATTTATTTATTTTTTAAAATAAAATTAGTTTTATTTATCAAGACCATTTAACAAAGCCATCATATTATTCCTCCCAGTGGCTGAATATATGCCACTAGAAACTAACTTAAGAACATGAGGAAATGAGATGAGTAATCAGAAGCCACCATCTGGTTACAAGAAAGGAGACTGGTTCCATCACACACGGGACGCTGACAATACGAAAGAAAAGCAGTAATTGTATCTTGCACATTCCCTTGGAAGTCTTCTGTATCCCAGGTTTTTCCTTTACAGTTTCCTATACTTATAGTCAGAACATACACACAAATTGAACATTAATAACGTGCTTAATACTTTAATGCCATATATCCATCATCACAGTAAGAATACTTAGCCATTACCCAGAACAATTTATTCCCTTGGTGAGTTCACTTGATGCTACTAAAAGAGCATCAAACATACTTTCTTAAGCCAAGAAAAGAAGGGGAAGGGGGGCCTATTGAAAAATAAATAAATAAATAAGCTGTCATACTATTCAAAGTCTGTCAGGTTAAAACATTCCCAGAGAGCCTGATCCTTTTGATAAAAACAGGAGCAAAGCTTTGTGCTGCAGCAAATGCAGCTGTGGAATAATCGCACTAATTAGCTACTCCAGACAAGTAATTGGCTGTGATACTGGGGGGAAAAGTCCTTTCAATTAACAGTAAAGCATTCTTGAGACATTTTAAATTAAAATTGCAAGTTATCAACCACAGTGAGGCTTCAGACTTTAAAGTCGACAACAATGTATATCATTTTAAGTGTTTTCTGAAATATCCATCAGAAATATAAATATATAGACATTTATACAGTACAAGCATAAATAAACTGAAACCCCACTGAAGAAAATCTACCAGAGCCCAGCTAATTGACATTATTTTGATAAATCTTTCTTTTAAAAAAATGTGCAATGCTAGCATGGTAGTCACTTCACTGAACACACTCCCTGCAGGACATTTCCACGTTGTTAAAAGATGACTCCCAGATTCTCAGCTTTGCCCTCAATCTTTTAAACATCCTTTTCTCTTAGAAATAATTGAATCTGCAATTATCACCCCATAGGCAACTAAAAATGAAGATATCTACACTTCACGATGTTAACAAAGGACAAATCAGCACAATGTTTTAAACTCAAAATCGAGGTTCTACAACGTATATTTTCTTAAAATGATGACTAGATGTTGAAGCCACTAATGATAAGCAAGGAGAGTTGCTCAAATTTATTTAATTCTAAAAGCTAAATGAACTCATCCAGGGCCCTTGAAGCTCAATCTTCTCCTAATTAGATAATCCTAATTCTACTAGTCTGATTCCTTTTAATCAGATTATTTAAAGGTCATTTATTCAACAAACAGTGATAGAGTGTTTCCTCTGTACCAGGCGCTGGGAATACCTGGTTTCTAATCCCAAAGAGTTTAAAGCTCTGACCACATAATTTTTCTGAAATGCCTAAAATTAAGTCAATTATCTAGATTGTTTCATTATCTAGTTCCACAAAGTATGTGTGGATGTGGCCATAAAAACTGCCCATTTGAAAGCCAACTGAAGAAGAGGCATATGCCTTACCAGAATTTCCCAGAATCACTGAGCCAGATACACAACTCCTTTCAGAGCCAAGATCACCCAACAGCAACCCAAGGAGGATGTCATTAACTGGACCCAAGGCCGAGCTGGTTCAAGCCCTGCTGAGCAGCATGACCTTTACCAAGCCACTCAACCTCTCTGAGCCTCTGCAAAACCCACCCCCTAAGGCACTTGACTGCTAACCAGAAGGCTGTCAGTTCAAACTCACCAGCCACTCCTCGGAAGGAAGATGGGGCAATCTATTTCCATAGTGATACTGCCTCGGAAACCCAAGGAGGGGTCGCTTTGAGTCGGGTCCGACTCGATGGCACATAACAACAACAACAAGTGGAACGCAGAGACTGAATGAGCTAATGTTTACTAAGTTAGAGTGCTTAGCACAGAGGCTGGAACACAGTATATGAAAAATACCCACCACTGATGAGTCAATTCTGACTCATAACGACCTTATAGGG